TTTTGTGTCAAAATGTGTTAAGATTTCAAAGTTGGGCCAACAACCTATTACTAATCACTCTGATTTAACCTACTTAACCATTTGTGTAGTAAGATAGGTGTTAAGTTTTATCGCAAAAGATCTCGATATTATTTATAGCAGAACCATTCATTTATAAGTAGTAATATATTTTGTCAAGTTTCTGATGTAGAGTTGCATTTTTCAACAAAATGTATGTTTAATTTACAGGCATGGAGTTAGACAAATAAGAAATCCATGGTCAAATGGACCTGAGTACATCACGCAGTGCCCCGATTGAGCCAGGAAACAAGTACACTTACATAGTAGAGTTTACAACGGAAGAAGGAACAATGTGGTGGCACGCACACAGTGGGTGGGCAAGAGCAACAGTTCACGGACCCATTTTTGTCTATCCAAAACGTGGTTCTCGCTATCCCTTTTCTAAACCTCATGCAGAGGTTCCAATCATACTAGGTATGTACGTACTGAAAACTGAAAATGCAATAAGGTATGTACGTAGAAAATGCAATGATTATCAAATGCAGTGGTGGAGCCACTTGAGGGTCAGGAGAGGTTTGCGCTTATTCTGAAGTTTTTTCACTTTGTAGCTTCTATTTGTGTGTTTTTGATTGAACATAGTGCATTCTTCGACTTATGTACTTTTGCTTCCAACTAGCTTTATTATATTTCTCTAATTGACCAACAAAATGTGTTTTACAGTAGTACTGTTATGAAGCCAAAACCTTATATCAACTTGCCTTCCAGTTCATCATTTTGCATGATAGAATGTTGTTTTACGGTAAAACTACATATATACGGAATAGAGGAAGAATTTATCTTGAAAGACCATTTTCATAGCTACAGTTTTGAACCATGGTTATTAATTTTTGTTCAATGTCATTGTAGAAACTTACAAAAAAGTTTGGTGCTTATATTATCTCAATCTCTTTTTTTTTCCCTACTCCATTACTCTCTTTTGATTAAATTTTTTCATTGCACTATAAAAATTAACCTTTTTTCTTCCATTCGTGCTAGCATTTTTTGTCCAATTTCTTTTATATGGCTTAAAAGCCCCTTCTAGCTCCAATTTTTTGCTCCGTCACTGATCAAATGATCTTTAAAATATTCAAAATTAATAATGTTATTGTTCTTTCTTAGGCGAGTGGTGGAAGAAAGATGTTATGGAGATACCAGGAAATGCAAATATAACAGGAGGAGAACCAATACTCTCAGATGCCTATACCATAAATGGGCAACCAGGCCATCTCTATCCATGTTCCAAATCAGGTATATTGATATCAACAAAGAAAATTGATAAATATTCTTGTAAATAAATAGTTGTTATAGTATGAATTTAGTGAAGGAAGAAAGAGAGAGATCAGTCAGAGAGAAGACGAGAGATAAAGGCTTGAGAATTTGTGAGTGATGTTTATCACGCCCTATGCATTTATTTATACTAATAAGTGAGAGAGAAACTTCTAATAGCATTAGGACTGCAAGAATATCAATAAGTTTGTATCAATGTATATTTAGGCCTGGTCTACTTAATTTCTTGGATTGGATTGGACAACTCACTACATTCAATGTATTCTAAAGGAGGAAATGAATGCTTAACTTTCAAATCTTGTCCAAGTCGAAGATGGAAAATGAATTAGCAGTTAAAAAACTTATCCCGTCAATAAGTTTCCTTCATGACTAGCTAGTCATTTTATAACTTCATTTTAAACAAAATTTTGAAGTTGAAATAATTTAGTGAGTTAAATTGTAAACCTCAAAAATAGACTTATCTTTTGTGGCTAGTTTGTAGTTTTGAAAATAAAATGTATACGTGCTTGATTATTATTGTATATTAAAAAAAAATTTAAAACTTGTTTTAATCTTAAATCTTTCTCTAGTTCTCTATCTTTGATAAATATTTTAAAATATCTGTTTACTCGCTTAATCTCTCTTTCTTTAATGTGTATTTATCTTTTTATTCATTTCTCTCTACTAATAACATTTTAATGTAACATGCAGGTACTTTCGAAATATCAGTGAAGAATGGGAAAACCTATTTGCTTCGGATAATTAGCGCGGTAATGGATGAAGAGCTTTTCTTCGGCATAGCAAACCACAAATTAACATTGGTGGGAAAGGATGGTTACTACACAAAACAAATCGAGACATCTTACTTAATGATAACCCCAGGCCAATCCATGGATGTTTTATTGCAAGCAAACCAACCTCCAAGTCTCTATTTCATGGCTGCAAGAGCATATTCAAGCGCCACCGGAGCTGGTTTCGATCAAACCACGACAACAGCCATCGTTAAATACCGCAGTTCACACCGAGATCATCCACAGTTTCCTCACTACAAATTTCCCCATCTACCTCCCTATAACAGAACTCAAGCATCAACCGACTTCACCAAGCACTTCAGAAGCCTAGCAACGAAAGAGCACCCAACCAATGTCCCATTACATGTAAACACCCACCTCTTCTTCGCCATATCTGTAAATCTTCTAAATTGCAGCGGCAAACCATGCAGCGGTCCCTTTGGTAAAAGATTTTCCGCTAGCGTGAACAACGTAAGCTTTGTAGCCCCATCCATCGACATACTTCGAGCGTACTATTATAAGATCCCAGGTGTTTTCGAGAAAGATTTTCCAAGAAAACCTCCTAAGGGGTTCAATTATACCGGTGATCGACTTCCCGACAACTTGTTTGCCCCTTCCTACGGCACGAAGGTGGTGGTTCTGGAGTACAATGCGAGTGTTGAACTAGTTTTACGGGGAACCAATGTGCTAGCAAGTGATAACCATCCTGTGCATTTGCATGGCTATAGCTTTTATGTTGTTGGCTGGGGTTTCGGAAACTTCAACCCCAAGAAAGACCCTTTAAGCTACAATCTTGTTGATCCTCCAGAGGAGAGTACAGTTGGTGTTCCTAAGAACGGTTGGGTTGCAATCAGATTTAGAGCAGATAATCCAGGTACCTAACAAAATTATAAGGATAATGCTAACCTTAATTTTCTTCTTCAAACATTTTTGTGTATTTGTTTTTGTCTTTTTTTTTTTATTTTCTAGCTAGCCCTTTGGGTATCATCCACACCACCATTTTCTTATGTTGATAAGATTCATAAATTTATGGATAATACTTGGATACTTATTGGTGAGTACTTGCTTTTTTATTTTGTACAATGGTAACTCGTCTTCTATTGTTTAAAAAAATAATGGACATGTTATTTAATTTTAATTAGGCTTTAAAAATAAGACAAGTAACATTTTTTTATTGGGCTAAATCGAAAAGTGAGCATATAGAGTACTCGTTGTGAGTACTTAAGTATTATCTTAAATTTGTACTAAAAAAAAGTATTATCCTAAATTTATTATGTAAGAAAATTAAGAATATGCTTCAAACGCTAAAGAGAGAATGAAATTTCAAATCAATTTTAGGACGTTTGGTAATCAATTTTAAGATCACCATTTCATTAATAGTTTGCTTTTAAAATTTGTTTTAATAAAAAGCAGAGTTGGGTTTTTAATAAATATTTTCAATTGTTGTAATACCTTTGTTAATTTTACACCATCATCAGCATTACAACCACCATTTTTGCCACCACCACCAACATAACCACAACCTCTACCAATGTCACCACTACTACCATTGTCACCACCATCATTACCGTCATCGCCACCATTACCACCACCACCGCCACTACAACCATTGTTACCACCATCGCTGCCACCACCACCATTACTGTCACCACTGCCACTACAACCACAACTACCACTACCACCATCATTGCCGCCACCGCCACCACTGCCATTACCACCGCAACCAAAACCGCCATTATCGGTGCAACCACCGCCTTACCACCATTGTGATCTCTCCACCCCAATCAACACATCCCACTATTAGCACAACCATTGCACCTCCACCGCAACCACCACCACCATTACCACCACTGTTGTCGTTGCCCACATTCCTACTACTATGTTCATTTGTCATTGTATACAATTGCATCACTTTTACATTAAATTTTACCAAATGTTTTTAAGTTGCTTTTCATACTCAAAGCACTTTTAAAATTCAGTTAACCAAACGTTCATCAGCTTTATTTTACATTTAATTATTTTTAAAGCACAACAAAAGTAGTTTTTTTTTTTAAGCACATCAATCCCAAACTGGCCCTTATTATATTAATTAGTGGAATAAATATAAAAATACATAAATACCAAAAAGTCACTTAGTACTACGGTCTAGTGGTATTCCTCTTCACTTGTAGTGAGAGGGTGTCAAGTTTGATTCTCGCCAAAGGCAAGTTTGAACTACATTATTGCTAGCCCATTGTGAGTTTGTTCAAAAGAAAATACATAATATACCAAAGTGAATGGGTCTTGTATATCTAAAACTAATTTTAATTTAGCTTTAAATTTCTTACACAATGAATTTGATACCAAATTATTCTCCATCTCTTAATGTAAATATACATAGGGAGCAAATTAGTATCATCATTTTTTTACACAACTTTTGACACACGTTTTTATAAACCCATTCAATAATGTATTTTAACGATCTGAACCATCTATCTTTTAGAATATCATCCATAGATCACCAGTGCAAAAAAATAGATGAATCCAAAATCATTAAGATATTCATTTGTAGTGAAGGAAATGGGCAAATCCAGTTCTATAAAGAAACCTTAAACTCTTAATCCAACGGTCATATTAGTTTTAGATTTGGGTGACTTGGTATACATGATCTTTGATGGAAGATCTAAAAGATAGACAGTTCGATTTGTCAAAATGCATTACAAAGTAGATCCCACAAAAACATATGTCAAAAGTTGTGTAAAAATATGATGCCACAAATCTTTTCCTATTATTGTATCTCGAAAAGAAAAGAAAAGAAAACTAATTTTAATTTTATTTCCGTGCTTTTAAGAGAAAAATGACTTTGTTAAAATTTAACCGTAACCACTAGCAATTGAAGTAGTTTAAGCAAAGATCGCATCAGAATAACGAAAAACCTCCAGCTTTAGCAAAGATATTTATAAGGTTTGAATTCTCTGCTCAAAATGGAACAAGAACAAGACCCTTTGAACAACCTAGTACGTAGCGAAGAACAAACTAGCCGCCTCTTCGAAAATGGCAACTCAGAAATAGCACCAGAACAATCTTCTATCTAAACATCTAGACACGGAGAATGCCGCCTTGATCACGCGTTTGCAGACTAAAAAACGTCGTACGCACAAATAGCTCATGGCAAACATGGCTGGTCGCAAACAGCTTCACCGTTTTCCGGTGTTGATTCTTGGCTTGCCTTTAACCTCAGCTTCCTGCAACCGAGAAAAGTGTAACATTGCAGTTTGAGTATTTCTAGGCCTTCGTCAACAAAATTACTGGAAATGTATGGTCAGAGACATACCTGTGGCACATGGAGGTAAATGCAGTTCTTTGCGGTAGCAGGATTGTGATTTTCAGCACCATTGCTCCAATCATAGCAAACCTAAAAACACGCGTTTGGAAAGAATATCCGGTGAAACATTTAAATTAGGAGAGAAAAATATAAGGAATTTGTGCAACCAGTTTTTGAGTCAAATTGGCTCTCAGAGATTAGAACCAAAACCAGCATCAGTCACTTGAATACAGAAAGAAACACGACCACAACAGCACAAGTCCAAAATAACCATGGCAAGCCATGCAGTATAATCTCGACAGAAACAATAGTGAAAGACAAGCAAGTCTACAGAGTGGAAGGTTCATTTTCGTATAAATTGAAATTGCAAAAGGTTAGTCATCATTGCAAGAAATACAATAAAAATGCATACGCAAAGCTATTTCCTGAAGTTGCAACGTATACAACCTACTTCTACCACTTTAGATCAGTTGAAGAACATAACATCTATGGATGTATACAACCTCCAGACTCCATTCATTACCAACCCAGATTTAAAAGAGGATAACGAGAAACGTCAGGATAGTATTTTCATTTTTGTAAACAAATTTTACACCATGAGTCAGTGCCGTGAAAATTTGAACAGCAAACCTCAAGACCGAACCCTCATATTAGTTGCAAAATCACAAATAAAGAGACTTACTGCGTATGCAAATATGGAACCATCACTGTTGAAAGCACTGCAAGGTATAGATTGACTGCACCTCGCCATTGCCTGAAAAAATAAGAAAACCCTCTATTAGGCACTTATACGCATACAAAACAAATGGTCAGTAACCAAATATATAAACAGGAAGGAGAGAGTCGGGGACTGGACAAGCTCATGCCAGAAAAAGAAAATGACTTGTACAGAACTAAAGCCAACAAAGTAAAATTGCCAGATTAGCGGCAACTTAAACTGATCGGAAACCAACAGTCAAGATGCTTATAATTTAAGCATAATACGAAGACAAAAGTAGCAGTAGAAAAAAATATGGGAGAAACCTTTAGTCTCTGTTTGCTATCCTTATCCCAAAAATTGAAAGAACCGTCAGAACCAGTGGTAGCAAATGTGTGATGTACCTGAAACGAGGAGCACAAAATAAGCTCTACTGCGACAAATAACAGTAAAACAGAAAATGAAGCCTCAGAATTTATCAACATCTCACTCAACAACCTAACAATAAACATAACGAACCAACAGAGAATGTTCAATAAATTAGTTTGGATGGAAACTGTCAAATAATTAGGCATTCCAAATCATGATTTTGAAGTAAACTCATTCCTAAAAAAAAGACAAATTCGAACATGAAGGTAAGATTTAAATTAACCAAATTCATCGTTCAGACAAAATCATCCAGTATACATAGCAATCTAACTACTTTACAGATTCTCATACACTATGACAAGCCAACAACGAATACAATCCATTAATAATATAAAAGAAAACTTCAAAACAAAAGAAAAATAGTAATTCAAGGATTATTCAGAAACCTATTTGCTTTTTGTCTTTCACAATTCAAGAGAGTGAAAAGTAACAGGACAAAGGAAAGGGGGAGATGGGACCTTACAGAGCTGAAGAAGAATGCATGTAACGAAGACCACAACAGAGACATTTCACTTGAAGTGTTTTGAATTTTGAGTTTCAAATTCTATAAACTACTCTAACGTATTTTTCTCTCCTTCACTCCTATCTTTAATTTAAAAACAAAAATATAGAACACCAAAAAAAAATATGTTGGACCCTCAGTACATTGTCCAGACATAACTATGAAAAAGGAAAAAGACAAAGGGATCTTACGGGATGGAAGTTCAGAGAGTTGACTGAGTAGATGTCATTGCCCTCTCTATGGCACTTGAAGGTAAAGTTTTTACTTTGTAGTCCATCATCAAGATGATGTACACCAACCCTCCCTTCAATAGAGCCAACCTGGTCAGAATCATAATTATTTGATTCATTAATTATTCAGATAAGGTAATAGGTTATGAAGCCAAAAAATAAAAAAAATAAAAAAAATAAAAAAAAAGGAGTACAAATGATCCTATGTGATGTTCAATAATCATGAATCACGATAGTAAAAAAAAGTAGAATGGCAAAAGATAGAACTGATGGCGAAGTGGTATATCAGTTATGTCCAATGATATCAACACATCAAATTCTCAAAAAGATTATAATACATTTGAGCAGATAATTTATACAATCTCCCCATGTGCTTTAGTGGAAGGGAACACCCATCTCATTCTGAAAAATTATAGCACTATTATCGAAGTCAAAGATATAAACTTGGTAGCGCTCATATTCTTCATGGTTTTGGTCTCCCCTAGATAATTAATAGAACAACTATACTTTTAGACAGAAACTAAACAGGTAATTACAAGGCCAAAAATAAATAAAGAACAATTTTGAAGGTAAAATCAAAATACTTACCAAGAATCCTTGCTGATCCGGAAATGCAGCAACAGACCTTGTTTGATACTTTAGGGGTGAAACAATTCTCTTGAATTCAGTCTGTTAGTAATTAGAAATAATTGAAATTAGAGTCAAAACATAGAATGTCAATGATGGCAACCCAATCAAATATTAGAATCTCTATATAATAAATCCTATCTCTATTGACTGGACTTGAAAACTTCAAAAAGAACTAGAAGCTTATCCTCAAGGTACCACAAAAATAATTAAAAGCCTAGATAAATGTTAATTCTGAAGACTAGAAGTAAACAAAGTTAATGAAGAAGTGAACTGCTTTAATTCGTCGATATATTCTTGTTGCATCAAATTGATAAAATAAATGATATCTGATAACTCTTACAAATAAAATGATACCTGTGGGGTTTGCAAGTTAAAAACAATCAGATTTCGGTCTGCAGTGCCAACAACCATTAGAGGGTATCTCACTGATAAAGTGTAGCAGCGCTCAGGTAGAGCTTGGGTATGGATTGGAGTTTGCTGCCTCAGATCCCAATACCTGAAGATAGATGGCAAAGGTCATACATTAAAAAGAAGAAAAAAACGACTTCTTTAACAAATTATTTTAACAAGTATCCGACTGAAATTTCTGGTGCACAAATTCAGATAGCTCAAGCTAGATAAAAACAAATGTTTTACTTACTTCAGAGTCTTGTCCCAGCTTCCTGTGACTAAGTAGTTCATCTCCGGGATCCAAGCAACCTCTTTTATTGGTGCATCGTGCATGGCAACGGTCACCGGTTGGTTACCAGCTAAAGGCCACATCTTAACTTGCTTGTCACAGCTTCCAGAGAACACAGTAGATCCATCATCCTTCCAAGCTGAGCACAAAACCTATATAGAATTATAGATAGACATATATCCTTCCAAGTTATTTCACAGAATTTCCTTAATTAACATACATTGATCTAATGTGGTCTCAAATCAAATGCACATACTTGTGCACGCACAAAACATATGTATTTAACTATTTATCAATAAATCTTTGAAATAGTGGTGATCCTTATTCAAAAGACTCAGCTTTTTACAAGAGATCATAGATAAACGGTACAAAAAATTACTTTCTTAATCAACAGCATATAACAAGTGTAAAAGCAATTGTCCTTGATATTTTCATTGCAAACGTAAGATCTTGCAAACATGTCTCAGACCTCCCATAATTAAAATTCCATATTTGACCTTCTACATAAAGATTGTACTGCTTTTATCTAACAAAATTTTGCGTCCAACTGTAACCATAAAATTTTTTGCATCCAATATATTTCTCCAAAACTAATCTTATATCGGTTCCTGAGTAATACATCTAGAAACAATGAGCAAACCTTTTGTTTGTTTTGTATTCAACCAGAATAACACTAAGTCACTATGAGGAGCAGAAGTTAAGAATCATATGAGAGGGCCATGGCCAGATGTAAACTCCCCTAGCTCTGCCAGTGGAACAGTAAAGGTTCCAAGTTTGAATTCACCAAGTAAAGGCAGACAATCTAGCATTTATAAATTCAACAGGCATTACCAATTCATACCCTAGTTCAAATTAAAAAATATAGTTGACACAATGTTGTGTATGTATCTGTTATTCCACAATATGTTGGAATTCAAACATGTGAAACAAAACAATTTGACAACTGAACTAGTTCATGTAACATGGGGAGAGAGAGAGAGAGAGAGAGAGACGTTACCGGTTGGTCATGGGATATGGATGCCTTGGGCACACTAGCAAGATTTTGTCCACTCTGGTGTATCTCCCAGCATCGCACCTAAACACGGGCATACCAGCAGTCATTACTTAATCCTACCAATAAACTGTTTGTTTGGTCGCACAGATAAGAAAAGAAATTATAAAAATCAATCCAATGACTGTATCTTCTTCGGTTCCATGAATCACACATACATACCTACATAAGCAAGAAGCATACTGTAATAAATATATATATTTTTTCCTTGAGAAAGGAAAAAAACATTAATTAGACTGACCACGGTCACAACCCGAACCAATACAATCAAATAAAAGAGCTTTTCTCGCCACAGGAGGCAAGGTTCTATCCCAAATACAAAAGTTGGCAACTTCAAATCCCATGCTAGTCGCTGCATCCGCCACGAAGTTTGCCTCTTTAAAGACGTGCTTCCAGTAAACAATTATATGTGAATCCCAATCATACATTATAGTGCCTGGTAGTCTGATGACAGAAATCCAATCTATAGAAAAAACTTTCTTAGCAACCAAACAGAATGCAAGGCTACATACATACATACCTGGTTGTCCCAGGAGGTGGCGACCAGAATGTTGCTCTTGGGACTGAAGCTTAGGCTCGATATCGAGTCGTTAGGAAGATGGGTAACCTAAAATATCAAAAATTAAAATTAAAATTAAATTGAATAGAATTAAATTAAACTAAGGAAGAGAATCAAAACAAAGCATGATCGACGAATAACTGCAAGTTAGTCGAATTCACCTCAAAGGACTTGTTCGGATTCTGATTCTGATTCGAAGCAGCCATGAAATTCGACATTGGAGTAGCACTCAGTGAAATTCGCTTCTTCTCTACCTCGAAATTTCAAAAATAAATAAATAAATTACCGAGCATTCATCTGAGAAGTAAAACCTGAGAGAGAGAGAGAGAGAGAGAGTGTGTGTGTGTGTGTGTGTGTTATAAATTCACCTTACCCGAAGGTGGAGAGTGCAGAAGAAAGTAGAAACTGACTGAGTGTGGTTTAGAAGTTTGAACGACGAGGAAGAAAAATACGAGTGTACATGGGAAACATTTTTAAATGTCACGTGAATTTATAACATTTTTTAATTTCATGATAATTTCGTTAAGTTTTCCATTTATTATAAGTAACGTGTTTTGCATACAACTTGTTTCAAGATTGTTTTGAATTTTTAACTCTTCACACCCATTTAATATTATTTCGAACATTTCAACTTATTTTTTTTCTAATAATAGGATGGACTGCGGTAAATTCTCAAAACTTACAATTAGTTAAATTTTGTGGTTGATGTGGTAGCAAATTTTAGTTGCCTTTGGATTTGAAAAAATTGTATCTACAAAACAAATTAAACACATTTGATTACGACCATAGTCACACGTCCAATGGGGGAGGGGGTGGGGTTTGGTCAACGAACATCAAGGTGGGTACTCTGGAATCCCATTGGGAATTCATGCTAAGCTCATGAAGGACAAAAGTAGCCATGAACCATGCACAAAAGCTGCTTATGCATGTGAAAAAAGCAATATCAGACGAAGCCTAATTCTATTTTTGCAAAGATAAAAAACAGCTACTAAATCAAAATAAGCTTTTTAACAAAATTCTTTTGGCATCTGGAAGCAAATGAAGGCTCACATAACATTGCCGTTACAATCACCAGATATGCAGCAGATTGAAATCCCTATATATAGAGAAATTCTAAAATCCAAATACCAGGCAAGCTCATCCCTACAAACCTAGACACAGAGAATCTTTCCCTCGTTCACGTCTTCTGATTTGTCGTGTTAACTTGGTCCACTTTTTGTAGTCAAACGGGCCGGATTGAAGTTGTGAATTATTCTCCCAAGCCTTACCCATCAACATAAGGCCTGGTATACGAGCCCAGCCAGACTGTGGCCTTATCCATAGGGTAAATGATGACCCCTAGACTAAGGGGAGTCTTTGTCCACTTTCACGTCAAACGTGTAAAAATGGGCCACAAAATATTGAGACATGGTAAATTAGTCCGAACATCATCTTCGGGCTGCAAAATCCAAAAGAATGTGCAACAATAAATGGTGGACACAATTGGTTGATAACCATCTAGAGATTTTTCAATGTGTTGGAAATATGGCCCAGTATGTCAAGCGTAATAATACAATTGGTTATGAACTGATAAAAAATTTCTAACTAATTGTATCATAACTCTTGATGTACCAGATCGTATTATTGGCAATGGTGGATCTAGGAAATAATATTAGGGGGATCAGTAAGAATAGTGGGCAAATTTTTTTTAACATAAATAGCAATCATATCGTCATTTCATCAAGTATTGGTAGGCTTGATGTCATTTGGAAACGCGTACTGCACACCTGTTAATGCCTCATTTGCGTGGGTAACTAACATGTTTCAAGACTGCTCCCATATGAATGCTTAACAAAAAAACACACTTATCTTGAACACACTAACATTGTTTGATATTACTGCATCTCATTAATATGTATGTCCAAGAACGATGATACTTTATTATTCTCTAAGATCACCATTTCATTTACTTTGCATTTTTGGATAATTTTTTACTTGGTTCTTTTTTTCTGCCTACAATTGTAATAACAACCAACAAACAAGCCAAAGGTAAATAATATTTGGACTAGACTGTAAAGGGGCAACACCTCTCTAATACATTTTATCAAGCAATTGAAGGGCATATATGAAGGGCAACTCCAACTTTTAAAGGAGTATCAACCAAGTCATCCATGGACATTCACCAAAGTTCCGAGGATCAGCACTCAAGTTATCCCTGGACATTCACTAAGTTAGGAGGGTCAGCTGACCCCCCCTGGCCCCTCAATGCATCCACCCCTGATTACCGGTAAACTGAAAAAATTTCTTGCTTAACTAAATCAGAGAGTTGTTATTAACACTTCTAAAAAGTCACTCTGCAATCCTCTCAGGTGTCACTTATCTCCTAATTTTCTTAATGAAATGAGTGCGGGTTGACTATTACGAAACGTGAATAATAGCACCCTTATAATGAAATTTTGTATAGAATTCTTTTTGTAGTTGACGCTACTTAGTCTAAAATAATACACATATCAACTCGGTCCTTACTAAACGTTTGTCCCCATGTTCATTGTATTTCATTAATTTGTAGTTGTATGATTGGTAGGAAAATTTCATTACTACTTCAAATCCTTCCTTTCATACACGAGACGGTCATTTTCAATGCAATTAGTTGTGGAAATTATTTATACTTTATTGCAGTAGACTTGGCACAATTGGAGACTTGGGCCTAACGAAAGATTTAGCACAAAATTGAACATAATGGTGTTCTAAAATTCATATAGTCGACTCATTTCGTGGAATAAAATTTTGTTGTTGTCATTTCATATGTGTTCACTTCAATAGAGGATATCGTTTTCCTTGACTGGGAATTTTCATTTTCTCCTTGTTCTTCATCTTCTCTTGCATAAAAAGACAACTCAACATGTAAACATCAAGGAGAGGCGCTCAAGTGCAGTTTCCTAGCATTTCACAGGTGGTCAATACATCACTGTAGAAAAATGTGGAACAAATGGAAATTAGGTGGTGGTGTAGAAAATAGATTTTTCCGTTGTTCTGGTCTCCAACGACTATATATGTATATATATGAAATTATAATGTGTGTGTGAGTGTATATATACATATATATAACATATCAAATGATATTAATGATTTCTCAACTTTAACTTAATTGGAGTAATAGTTCCTCAACTAAAAATTCATGACTATTAGTCTCTTAACACCTTAAAACATGCAGTTGTGGTCGTTTTTGTCAATTATGTCTGAACTTACGTCAAAATGAGTTAGGTTAGAAGAATCATTGCTATATATAATTGGGTTAAAACTAAGGAACCATTGCTTCAATTATGTTAAAGTTGAAGGATTATTTCTCCAATTGGATTAAAGTTAAAAGACAAATTCTACAATTTTCTTATTTAGTTTTCTATATTTTCTCATTGATTCAGCCTCACAAGCGTGACACATGATTTATTTTGACGGCAGTTTTAACGAAGTAACGAAAAAGACCAAAGTTAACACATTTTGATAAGTTAAGAAACAAAATGATTATGAATTTTGAGTTGAACAATTATTGCTCCAATTATGTTACAATTAAGAAATATCACTGCAATTTTCTCTCTCTCTCACACAGACACACACACACACACACATATATATATATATATATATTGGCAAGAATAAATATAAATGGGTGATGTTGTGTGAACCAATGGATCTGACATATATAAGGATGCAAACTGCTGCAGAATTTTCCTGCACCGGTCACCTCCTTTGCCATATAAATATTTATGGACCAAGGCTGACCAAATATTCTTTATGATGGTCAAAGGTGTTAGATAGTGTTGATTCTAAAAACTATCAAGTCTATGTGACGTGCATGTCGAGTAACAAATAAATTAACTACGTTCTTTGGTTATGTGCGGAGCGTGCTAACTCAACGGCCGAGCTCGACCGGTGAGTAAAATATGTTGATGTTGCGATGAGCGCGTTGCTAACTTCTTAATCTTGCGACTGTGGCCGAGGAAGGAACATGTCTTGGCCTTTTGGGTTCTAGAGCCTGAAGACAAGGATGCTAGTTCTATGAGTTAATAGATCGTCGGCGTCGGGTTCAATCTCGGTTATATTAGTCATGAGAATATAACTACACCGAACTGGTACCAAACTATACGGACACAAATCCTTAAAAGAGATAAATGACTTGATCATAAATGTAGTTCGACCGTCGATGTGCCGAACTCTAAAATGTACTTACGAATATCCAATCATAAAACAACTTGGTGTTCAACGTGTTGGGCCTAGTAACCTGTAACACCTCACTTTTGCTAAGAAGGTTGATGAGATGACCTCTACCAATAAGGACTTGAAAATCCTTATCGACAAAGACTTGGATAAATAAGCAGTCGGTCTCGAAGCAATGCTGTTTATCCAAACTGAAGGTGCTCCTTGATCGGTTGACTCTACAGCTTCAGTGATGCTTATCCAAACTGAAAATGTCACTGGTTGTCTTCACAGTGTTATTTATCCAAACTGAAGATGTGTTGGTGGAAGAAAGGGGAAAAAGGATAAAATCTCAGGTTGTTGAGAAGCTTTGTGCAGGGCAATTTGTGTGTTGAATTGGATGGGGCTTGATGCGTTGCTCATGTTTCTGTATTTATAGAAAAGTAATGATATTCATACCATATTTTTGTACCACATTTTCATACCACCTTAGGTGGCATTTGTTAAATTTTAGGTAGACGGGCCAATGGCCACTCCAACAACGCCGATACGATCCCCACTTAACCACATACTCAATCCTTCAGGTGTGGAGTTTTAATCTAAAAGGCCTCGATATTAGTTAGAGCAGGGTAATTCTATTTAAATTGCTTGTTCTCAAGCCTTCTGGCCAATGCAGGACAAAGGAATTCTAACACTCTCCCGCATGTGAGACCCAATTTTATGGGTCACACGTGAAGTTCCACACATCGGCAACCACGTGGAGCCAAGTTGGGGCTCACCTGTTTGTGCGGGGCCAATGGGGACCCACCCGTTCACATGGCATCTCTTGGCCTATATGGAGCTAAGTCGGGGCTTACCCGTTTGCGCGGGGCCAAAAGGGACCCACCTGTTCACATGGATGTACGGGCCCATCTCCTGGCTCTGATACCATCTTAAATTTCAGGTAGACGGGCCATGGGCCCACTCGAACAACACCGATATTGTTTCCACTTGACCACTTACTCGATCCGTTAGGTGTGAGGTTTTAATACAAAAGACCTCAATGTTAGTTAGAGTGGGGTAATTCTATTTAAAGGGTTTGTTCTCAAGCCTTCTGGCCAATGTGAGACAGAGGAATTCTAACATCATTTGATGTGGACAGCCACATCATTTGAATTAATTAGATTTTTAAATTTAGTTCATTATTTAATAAACTAATAATTAAGAAAAACTAGTTAATTAAATGATGATTGTGATATACGATGAGTTTTTCTCCTTTATTTCCTTGGGTTTTGCAAATTTTTCAAATGATATGGCTATCCACATCAGATACCACCTAAGGTGGTATAGAAATGTGGTATAAAAATATGGTATGAATAACATTACTCTTCATAGAACATAGTTACCTTAGCATGGCCTGATAATTACATAGAGTTTAACTGCAACTCAAACTAGTGAAGATGAACCGTGCCATAGACTAAGACCTATCCACCTATCCGAAACTTATCGCGTCACCACAATAAACAAGTTTATCTCCATTCAATCACTTCACCAATCAAATCCATCATGTATATTTCCCCTAACAAGACCACATGCATGCATGATGATTCTTTCACCAACTTAAACTATGAAAAGCAATTCTAATTGATGAAATATAATCACCATATCCCAAGACAAAGCCATGTGCTACAACGCCATCCATGAATTCCAAGTCAATTTGAATTGTACCATCCACTTCTATATCAGAAATAGGACTTAGGTTTTGATAACAATTAGAAACGTAGGAGATTGCATGCACCTGGGGCTTGATATGATAAGCCTATTCGAATGTCTTCATGCAACCCCTTGAAGACGAATCAAATCATTTTTTTCAAAACAACCAGCTGGATGTACCAAATATTAGGTTTAGATATCCTAATATATCTTAAGAGATAATATCATGATTAAAATCACAATATTATTTCTAAATAATAACTAAAAATAGTTTCAACCACTTTGTTGTTCAACGGTCTACTAACATTCAATGGCCTCGATTACTCGAGTCGATGATGTAATTCGAGTCCAAATAGATAGATTGACCATGTTTCCGGTAAATGGATATTTTAAATGCCTTTCTTATTTTTCAAACGTCTAGAAATTAATCATGGTTAAGGCTAGCCACCTAATTAGTAAAGTCTAGATGACGTTAGGCTGAGACTTTTAGCCTAGACTCCCTTTCTTATTTTTTAAACGTCTAGAAATTAATCATGACGGAAGCTTGCCACCTAAGCGGAGTCTAGATGGTGTTAGGCGGAGACTCTTATAACCGAGTCCTATATATATATATATATATATATATATATATATATATATATATATATCACACTACAAGTCTCAACTCACAAAAAGAATTTGAGACGAAGTTTGTGATTGGAACATTCAATAATCCAAATCCAAATGTTCAAGTTTCCTACAAGTTTTTCGTCAATGTCCCATGCCATGACATTGCAGCCTGTGATGATAATTCAAGCCTTCAGGTACTACTCTGCAATTCCTTTCAAAATTATAAACTACCTCACTAGTTCACTACTCTTTCAGTTCTACCTGTCACTCCATTTTTCTGCAAACAACAACAACAAACCCTAGACCTTGCTTGGTTTACTAATCTGTAACCTTTCCTTTGTTTGTCATTCTTCACGCAGCTTCAAGAACGAAAAGGACCGATTAGTTTGGTATGAACACTATTTCTCCTCTACGGGATTATCCATTCCTTCCACACACACAGCGTATCATAATTTTTTGGATTCTTTAGCTATAAACCTTTACAACTCCTATTTCATATATAAAATCTCATCTAATTATAAACATCTAAATAAAACCCAAATTTAAAAGTGATTGCCATGTAGGAAAGTAATTGACCTATTAATACAAAATATTTACAACTTGTACCACAATATTCAAAATAAATTAATAAATATTATTGCTCACCTTAATTACAATGAACAAATAATTTATTGCATATTATTACCCGTAACACATACATATATATACATATATACGTTCAAATGTATCTAGTACTACCATAAGCTCTACACACACACACACACACACACACACACACACACATACATACGTTCAAATAATTTATTGAATCTGCCACCTTATGAGACCAAAGAATTGAAAAACTGGTCACGACTATGATTCTTCCAACTGTAAAAATCAGGTTGTCGTACGAAGGCAGCTCGCAATGCAAACATGGAGAAATTGCGGAATGGCTACCTGTTTACTGAGGTGAGTTCATTCTTCTTTTAGCAATTGAATTAGGACTGTAATATTCACACATTTCATTTTATTTTTCACACATCCTTTTAATTTTCGGTTGTCGGATTAAATAAATTGAAGAAGATCAACGGACAGAAATTATCAAGGGGTGTGTGAGAAGTAAAATGGGGTGTGTGGATAGCACGCCCTTGAATTAATCTCTGAATACACTATTCAGAAACTGATGCTAGCAATATATATATCTGTGTGTGTGTGTGTAAATTCAGATTTCAAGGCTGCAGCTTGAACACATTGAGAAGTACCCGAATGCAAAGTTGATAAGCCTCGGAATCGGCGACACAACAGAACCAATACCAGAAATCATCACATCAAGCATGGCTAATGTTAGTAAATTTAACTGAATCGATGAATATATTCTACTAACTACTTTTAAAAGCATACAGATTACAGAAGAAGGGGGAATAAGAAAAGAAAAGATTTTGGGTGGACTTTGTTTTCAATGTCTTAATAATGTTTAGAGAATTTTGGTGTTTTGCAGTATGCACATGCCCTTTCGACCGCTGACGGTTATTCAGGGTACGGACCTGAACAAGGCAATAAGGTACTATAGTAATGCATGATTCGCTCCCGACTGTCATGAAAGTTGAGTTTTAATTAAATCTTATTAAGTTAAATCTCAATTGTTCTCTTGTCTTTTAATGCTTGGATACCCTAAATTGCTTGCTTTGCTTTCTTTCAACATGTCATTCATTATGTGTTCCATGCATCAGTGTTTAAAATATTAGCATTGGTGAAACTATTGATATGTAAGTTTGTGAAAATATCGATGGATGTATTGATACCAATTACTTTCGATGGAAATGATAAAATTTTTGCTCAAAAACGTAAAATTTAAAATGAAACTTTAGGATATGGGAGTTTGCTGATATTTAAATATCGACAAAATCTATTGATTTTAGTTGAAATTTAAGAGTTTCTCCAGGCCAATGCAATCTGTCTATTTTTCAATATTTCCACGAAATGTCGACCGCATTAAAGAAATTTCAAATTTTCCCGTGCATTCATTTTTATTTTTCTTTTGCTTTGCTTCCCCGAGCTCCAACCATTGGACTATGAATTACAAGTGTGTTCCACGTTCATAGTCAACTGAACACAAGCCTAGCGACTTGACCCAAAAAAAAAAAGAACAAAAGTCTAGCAAGAAAACATTACTTCTCTTTCTCTTCCTCTACATATACGTTGGTGTGTTTGTGTGCACGCTCGTTTCCGTTTGCTTGCTAAGTACCTAAACTTGTTTATATGTCTACGTATAGGCATTGCGGAAGGCAATTGTAAAAGCATTCTATAAAGATCTGCAGATAAAAGACACTGAAGTTTTCGTATTAGATGGTGCGCAGTGTGACATTACTCGACTTCAGGTACTCAATTACCGTTTAAGTTTGGCGGATGCTCGTTATCTTATTACATGCAACGCTCGAAGCAAGGGTATTCTAGTAACACAGATTTATGATTTTCTTGTGTACTTACAGTTGTTGCTGGGTTCCAAAGTGACCATCGCTGTGCAGGATCCATCATTTCCGGCACGTTGCTATGTTACTGAACATGTTCCAAATGAACGAATGCTTAATTGAATTATTCCAAACAAATGAAAGATTGGTATCGGATCCGATACATGGCTCTGGCAGGCTTACATCGACTCAAGTGTGATTATCGGTCAAGCTGGAGACGAAGGTGGGAGTGGAAGGTATGGGAGTATTGATTACATGAAGTGCGGACCCAAAAATAACTTCTTCCCGACTTGGCAACCACTTCAAGAACAGATGTTATCTTCTTCTGCTCTCCAAACAACCCCACTGGTCATGCAGCAACTAGGGAGCAATTAGAGCTTCTTGTCAAGTTTGCCAGGGACAATGGATCCATTATCATCTTCGACGCTGCTTATTTGTCTTATGTACAAGACGATAACTGCCCTCGTTCCATCTTTGAAATTCCCGGTTCTAGACAGGTTGCGATCGAAATATCATCATTCTCTAAGTTTGCTGGCTTCACTGGTGTCCGCCTAGGCTGGACAGTTGTGCCTGACGAGCTCTTATACTCGACTTCAATCGCATTGTCAGCACTTGCTTCACCGGGGCGTCCAATGTTGCTCAAGCTGGTGGACTCGCCTGTCTTTCCCCGCAAGGCTTCAAGGTAAACCTTTTATACATAAAATAAATAACTTCCAAACAAATTACACATCTCCAAAATTACAAATTCACATTTTGCGGTTTCAGGCTGTGAATTCTCTGGTTGACTACTACATGGAGAATGCAAATATACTGGGTCAGGCATTGTCTTCTGTTGGTTTACAAGTATACGGCGGTGCAAATGCTCCCTACATTTGGGTGCACTTTCCAGGTTCAAATTCTTGGGATGTATGCAAAGACATTCTTGAGAAAACACACATAATTACAGTTCCGGGATCTGGATTTGGTCTGTCGGGTGAAGAGTTCCTGAGAATTAGTGCTTTTGGCCACAGAGAGTGTATCCTAGAGGCCGCAGATAGGCTTAAAAACCTATTTCTATAGGACTTAGGAACACCCTACTTCTCGCTTCATCTAATCACAATCAGCATCCACGGCGTTATTGTGATGGCTTGGCCCACTAAATGTTATACGTTATAACTTGGAGGGTTCATTTTATGCGAGGAATAATTACTAAACCAATAATGATTCGTGGCACGGGTAAAAATTTCTACGAGAATATGAGATTTATTATAATTTCTGCCTATTAAAGTTATATATGTCTCTGAGAGCCTATGTGGGTTTTTTTAAATATTAAGTCGCTTGGCTACACTTACCCTCGAATTAAAGAGTCTTGTAACAGAAGTAATCTCAAAGGAACGAGGCAAATGGCTAAGCAAAACTTTGCCATAAACATTCACAACCTACTTTCGTACAAAACAAACCGTCATGATTAACTCAAACCACATACACTGTTTCTCTAAGAAAATGTTACGAAGATCTGCTGACATATTTATCTCACTCGCCATTTAGCTACTAGCCACATCGCTTCAACTCACTATATATGCCAGGGGCTGAACGTCTGCACCTCAAAATAAAGTAATTCTTAAAGAAATCTACAATCTATGTCAGTAGAAATGCGCCAACAATCCGATGCACCGCTATCAAGATAAAGAAAATGCTAAAACTCTGTTCTCAATGTAGCATAGAGATAATTGAGCTAACTGCAAATCTGGGAAAATTAATTCATAACAAATTCATCAAACGGAAAGAAAATAGCTTGAGACACCAGGTCTTATATACAATATATCCTGAACCGTTATAATTTTGCTTCTTTTAAACACAACGGTTAATATAGAATGATTACATCCAGTAAAAAGCTATCACAATGCACTGATAAAAGTCTCAAACTTTGACAGAAAAAAGGGTAAAATCAGTTATAGCAATCACATCAACCGAAACTTTTTTCAAGTTTTGAGCTATACTAAAAATCTTAAGGGAATGCAAAACATCAAACATCAAGGACTAGACAGCTAACCAGTTCAGCAGGGAAAATCCATGAAGTTCGTGGTCTGTACTGATCTATTTCTCTCTCTAGATCTCTCACATTCTCTCTCTTTGTCTCTCTCTCATGTTCATGTGTGTAACTTGCGTTGTTGTTGTTGCAGGTGAAATCATCTTCTTACACTCGACTACGTAGTACCAAGGAAATCCTGACTGTGAACGGCCGATTCCCAGGGCCGACTTTGAAAGCTCGTAGACTAGATAAAATTAAGGAAAACTAATGAAAATGGCTTGAAAACTTTGAGTTTTAATGATAAGGACAAAATAAATGGTAAAGTGAATAGTACCAGGATTGACTTTTTAGTGCAAAAATTTGGTTTTTCATTAAGGTGAATAATACCGTGGGCTTTTGGTTAAAACTCCCATAAAATTATTATTACGGTCTATAACAAGGCAAACTACAACATCACATTTAATTGGTGCGTCATTTAATTTATATTCAAATTATAGTTCTATCCATGAATTTAACTAATTAATTTGTTTTTGTGTCAAAATATGTTAAGATTTCAAAGTCGGGTCAACAACCTATTACCAATCATTCCGATAAAGTCCTACTTAACCATTTGTGTAGTACAATAGGTGTTAAGTTTTATCGCAAAAAATCTCGATGTTACTTTATAGCAAAACCATTCATCTATAAGTAGTAATATATTTTGCCAAGTTTCTAACGTAGGATTGCATTTTTCAACAAAATATATGTTTAATTTACAGGCATGGAGTTAGACAAGTAAAGAATCCATGATCAAATGGACCTCAGTACATCATGCAGTGCACGATTCAGCCAGCAAACAAGTAGAGTTTACAACGGAAGAAGGAACAATGTGGTGCTGTGCGTGGGCAAGAGCAACAGTTCACGGACCCATTTTTGTCTATCCAAAGCGTGGTTCTCGCTATCCCTTTTATAAACCTCATGCAGGGGTTCCAATCATACTAGGTATGTACGTACTGAAAACTGAAAATGCAATAAGGTATGTACATAGAAAATGCAATGATTATCAATTGCAGTGGCGGAGCTACTTGAGGATCAGGAGAGGTCCGTGCTTATTCTGAAGTTTTTTTCACTTTGTAACTTCTATTTGTGTGCTTTTGGTTGAACATAGTGCATTCTTCGACTTATGTGCTTTTCCTTCTAGCTAGCTTTATTATATTTCTCTAATTGATCAACAAAATGTGTTTTACAGTAGTATTATTATGAAACCAAAGCCTTATATCAACTAGCTTTCCTTGGTTAGTTCATCATTTTGCATGGTAGAGTGTTGTTTTACAGTAAAACTACATATATATGGAATAGAGGAAGAATTTATCTTGAAAGACCATTTTCATAGCTTGAACCATGGTTATTAATTTTTGCTCAACGTCATTGTAGAAACTTACAAAAAAAGTTTGGTGCTTACGATGCATATATTATCTCAATTTTTTTTTCCCTAATTCCATTACTCTCTTTTGATTAAAATTTGAATAAATTACATAAAACTACCTCAACTATTTGGCCAGTCACAATTTCATACCCCATCTTAAAAAATGTCAATGTTATATCTTATCTTACGAATTTCTTCCATTCGTGCTATTATTTTTTTGTCCAATTTCTCTTATATGACTTAAAAGCCCCTCCTAGCTCCAATTTCTGGCTCCGCCACTGATCAAACGATCTTTAAAATATTCAAAATTAATAACGTTATTGTTCTTTCTGAGGGGAATGGTGGAAGAAAGATGTTATGGAGATACCAGGAAATGCAAATATAACTGGAGGTGAACCCTTGCTCTCAGATGCATATACCATCGATGGGCAACCGGGCCATCTCTATCCATGTTCCAAATCAGGTATATTGATATCAACAAAGAAAATTGATAAATATTCTTGTAAATAAATAGTAGTTGTAGTATGAATTTAGTGAATGAAGAAAGAGAGAGATCGGTCAGAGAGAAGAGGAGAGATAAAGGCTTGAGAATTTGTGAGTGATGTTTCTCATGCTCTATGCATTTATTTAAATTATACTAATAAGAGAGAGAAACTTCTAATAGCATTAGGACTGCAAAAATATCAATAAATTTGTGTCAATATAATATATTTAGGCTTGGTCTCGTTTCTTGAATTGGATTGGACAACTCACTACATTCAATGTATGCTAAAGGAGGAAATGAATGCTTAACTTTCAAATCTTGTTCAAGTCGAAGATGGAAAATGAATTAGCTGTTAAAAAACTTATCCCGTCAATAAGTTTCCTTCATGACTAGCTAGTCATTTTATAACTTCATTTTAAACAAAATTTTGAAGTTGAAATAATTTAGTGAGTTAAATTGTAAACCTCAAAAATAGACTTAAAAATCTTTTGAGGCTACATTGTAGATTTTGAAAGTAAAATGCATACGTGCTAGATTATTATTGTATAATAAAAAGAATTTAAAACTTTTTTTAATCTTTAATTCTTTCTTAGTTCTCTTAGTCTATATATATTTTACAATATCTGTTTTCTCTTTTAATCTCTCTTTCTTTAGTATGGATATATCTTAGCTCTTTTATTCATTTCTCTCTACTGACACCTCTAATATGAAATCCTTGTTTCGTCACTGCAGCAATAACATTTTTATCAATAACATTTTAATGTAACATGCAGGTACTTTCGAAATGTCAGTGAAGCATGGGAAAACCTATTTGCTTCGGATAATTAGCGCCGTAATGGATAAGAGCTTTTCTTCCGCATAGCAAACCACAAATTAACATTGGTGGGAAAGGATGTTTACTACACAAAACAAATCGAGACATCTTACATGATTACCCTGGCCAATCCATGGATGTATTATTACAAGCAAACCAACCTCCAAGTCTCTATTTCATGGCTGCAATAGCATATTCAAGCGCCACCGGAGCTGGTTTCGATCAAACCATCACAACAGCCATCGTTAAATACCGTGGTTCACACCGTGATCATCCACAGTTTCCTCACTACAAATTTCCCCATGTACCTCCCTATAACAGAACTCAAGCGTCAACGGAGTTCACCAAGCAATTCAGAAGCCTAGCAACGAAAGAGCACCCAACCAATGTCCCATTACATGTAAACACCCACCTCTTCTTCGCCATATCTGTAAATCTTCTAAATTGCAGTGGCATACCATGCAGCAGTCCCTTTGGTAAAAGATTTTCCACTAGCGTGAACAACGTAAGCTTTGTAGCCTCATCCATCGACATACTTCGAGCGTACTATTATAAGATCCCAGGTGTTTTCGAGAAAGATTTTCCAAGAAAACCTTCCAAGGGGTTCAATTATACCGGTGATCGACTTCCCCACAACTTGTTTACTCCTTCCTACGGCACAAAGGTGGTGGTTTTGGAGTACAATGCTAGTGTTGAACTAGTTTTACAGGGAACCAATGTGCTAGCAAGTGATAACCATCCTGTGCAATTGCATGGCTATAGCTTTTATGTTGTTGGCTGGGGTTTCGGAAACTTCAACCCCAAGAAAGACCCTTTGAGCTACAATCTTGTTGATCCTCCAGAGGAGAGTACAGTTGGTGTTCCTAAGAACGGTTGGGTTGCAATCAGATTTAGAGCAGATAATCCAGGTGCGTAACAAAATTATAAGGATAATGCTAACCTTAATTTTCTTCATTAAACATTTTTGTATGCTTGTTTTTGTCTTTTTTTTTTTTCTTCTAGCCAGCCCTTTGGGTATCATCCACACCACCATTTTCTTATGTTGATAAAATTCATAAATTTATGGATAATACTTGGATACTCATTAGTAGGTACTTGCTTTTTTTATTCTGTCAAATGATAACATGTCTTGGATTGTTTAGAAAAATAACGGACATGTTATTTAATTTTAATTAGGCTTTAAAAATAAGGGACAAGTAACATTTTTTGATTGGGCTAAATCGAAAAGTGAGCATATAGAGTATTCATTTGTGAGTACTTAAGTATTATCTTAAATTTGTACTAAAAAAAAAAAAAAGTATCATCCTAAATTTATTATGTAAGAAAATTAAGAATATGCTTCAAATGCCAAAGAGAGAAAATGAAATTTCAAATCCCTCATCATAGGAAGTTTGATAACTATTTTGTTTTCACTTTTTTTAAAATTGAAAGTTGAAATCTCGTTTGATAACAACTTTCAGTTAAAAAAATGAGACAATCAAATTTAATTTTATATGCCTGTAATTTTCTTGTGTCATCATATTTAGTAACATTTTAATTATCAAATCAAGTAAAAAAAAATCTTAAAATGGTTAATATCGTGATGAATGCAGGTGTGTGGTTGATGCATTGTCACATTGAGCGTCGTCAAACGTGGGGGAATGACAACGGTGTTCCTCGTGAAAAATGGTGTTGATCCAAGAAGAATAATTCTTCCACCCCCTCATGATTTGCCCACTTGCTGAGGGGCCGGACATAATATATCAGGTTCCTCACTGGATTTGGTTTCGTTTGGTATTTGCTTGAAGTTTGTAAAAAAATTTGATAAAAGTAAAATATTTTACTTATTTTAAAAGTAATGGACTTCATATAGCAATTTTTAAAAGCAGCTTGTAAGTTGCTTTAATAAAAAGCAGAGTTTGATCTTTAATAAATATTTTCAGTTGTTGTAATACCCCCGTTAATTTTTTTAAATGAAATTATTTAGCCTTCCAAAGCATTTTATCCCTTAGTAAAGTAAACGCTACCACCTACCACTACAAATACTACCTTTACGCCATCACTGCCATTACAACCACCATTTTTGCCACCACCACCACTGACATAACCACAACCTCCATCATTGTCACCACTACTACCATTGTCACCATCATCATTACTGTCACTGCCACCATTACCACCACCAACACTACCACCATTGTTACGACCATCGTCAGCACCACCACCATTACCGCAACCGTCATTACTGCCACCACAACCACAACTACCACCATCACCATCATTGCCGCCACCACCGCCATAACTGCTAACACTGCCATTACCACCACAACCAAAACCGCCATTACCAGTGCTAACCACTGCCTTACCACCATTGTGACCTCTCCACCCCAATCAATACATCCCACTATTAGCACAACCATTGCACCACCACCACCATTACCACCACTGTTGTCGTCACCCTCATTTCTACTACTATGTCCATTTGTCATTGTATACAATTGCATCACTTTTACATTAAATTTTACCAAATATTTTTACGTTGCTTTTCATACTCAAAGCACTTTTAAAATTCAGTTAACCAAACGTTCATCAGCTTTATTTTACAACTAATTATTTTTAAAGCACAACAAAAGTAGTTTTTTTTTTAAAGCACATCAATCACCAATTGGCCCTTATTATATTAATTAGTGGAATAAATATGAAAATACATAATATACCAAAAAGTCACTTAATACTACGGTTTAGTGATATTCATCTTCATTTGTAAGTGAGAGGGTCTCAGGTTTGATTCTCGCCAAAGGCGAGTTTGAACCACATTATTGCCAGCCCATTATGAGGTTAAGTCCACCCGCTCCCCTCCTCCTTAGTGTAGATAATATCGTTTGTTCAAAAGAAAAAATATAATATACCAAAGTGAATAGGTCTTGTATATCTAAAACTAATTTTAATTTAGCTTTAAATTTCATACATAATGAATTTGATACCAATTTATCCCCCACCTCTTAATGTAAATAGATATGGGAACGAATCAGTATCATCCCTTTTTTTACACAACTGTTGACACACGTTTTTATAAACCCATTTAGTAATGTATTTTAACAACCCGTACCATCTATCTTTTAGAACATCATTCATAGATCACCATTGCAAAAAATTAGATGAGTCCAAAATCATTAAGATATTCATTTGCAGTGAAAGAAATGGACAAATCCGGTTCTATAAAGAAACCTTAAACCCTTAATCCAACAATCATATAGTTTCAGATTTGGGTGACTTGGTAAACATGATCTTGGATGGAATATCTAAAAGATAGACAGTTCGATTTATCAAAATACATTACAAAGTGGACTCCACAAAAAACATAGTACGTAGCGAAGAACAAACTAGTCACCTCTTCGAAAATGGCAACTCAGAAATAGCACCAGAACAATCTTCTATCTAAACATCTAGACATGGAGAAAGCCGCCTTGATTACGCGTTTGCAGACTAAAAAACGTCCTATGCACAAATAGCTCATAGCAAACATGGCTGGTCGCAAACAGCTTCACCGTTTTCCGGTGTTGATTCTTGGCTTGCCTTTAACCTCAGCTTCCTGCAACCGAGAAAAGCGTAACATTGCAGTTTGAGTATTTCCAGGCCTTCGTCAACAAAATTACTGGAAATGTATGGTCAGAGACATACCTGTGGCACGTGGAGGTAAATGCAGTTCTTTGCAGTAGCAGGATTGTGATTTTCAGCACCCTTGCTCCAATCATACCAAACCTAGAAACACGCGTTTGGAAAGAATCTTCGGTGAAATATTTAAATTAGGACAGAAAAATATAAGGAATTTGTGCAACCAGTTTTCGAGTCAAATTGGCTCTCAGAGATTAGAACCATAAACCAGCGTCAGTCACTTGAATACAGAAAGAAACACGACTACAACAGCACAAGACCAAAATAACCATGGCAAGCCATGCAGTATAATCTCGACAGAAACAATAGTGAAAGACAAGCAAGTCTACAGAGCGAATGGCTCATTGGGGTATAAATTGAAATTGCAAAAGGTTAGTCATCATTGCAATATATACAATAAAAATGCAGACGCAAAGGTATTTCCTGAAGTTGCAACGTATACAACCTACTTCTACCACTTTTGTTGAAGAACATAACTTCTATAGATGTATACAACCTCCAGACTCCTTTCATTACCAACCCAGATTTAAAAGAGGACAACCAGAAACGTAAGGATAGTATTTTCATTTTTGTAAACAAATTTTACACCATGAGTCTGTCCTGAGAAAATTTGAACGGCAAACGTCAGACAGAACCCTCATATTAGTTGCAAAATCACGAATAAAGAGACTTACTGCGTATGCAAATATGGAACCATCACTGTTGAAAGCACTGCAAGGTATAGGTTGACTGCACCTTGCCATTGCCTGAAAAAATCAGAAAACCCTCTATTAGACACTTATACGTGTACAAAACAAATGATCAGTAACCAAATATATAAACAGGAAGGAGAGAGTCGAGGACTGGACAAGCTCATACCAGAAAAAGAAAATGACTTGTACAGAACCAAAGCCAACAAAGAAAAATTGCCAGATTGGCGGCAACTTAAACTGATCGGAAACCAACAGTCAAGATGCTTATAATTTAAGCATAATACAAAGACAAAAGTAGCAGTAGAAAATAGATATGGGAGAAACCTTGAGTCTCTGTTTGCTATCCTTATCCCAAAAATTGAAAGAACCGTCAGAACCAGCAGTAGTAAATGTGTGATGTCCCTGAAACAAGGAGCACAAGATAAGCTCTACTGCAACAAATAACAGTAAAACAGAAAATGAAGAGCAGACGTCAAGAATCATATGAGAGGGCCATGGCCAGATGTAAACTCCCCTAGCCCTGCCAGTGGAGCAGTAAAAAGTTCCAAGTACGAATTCACCAAGTAAAGGCAGACAATCTAGCATTTATAAACTCAACAGGCATTACCAATTCATACCCTAGTTCAAATAAAAAGATATAGCTGACACAATGTTGTGTTTGTATCCGTTATTCGACAATGTGTTGGAATTCAAACATGCAAAACAAAATAATTTGACTACCGAACTAGTTTCATGTAACATGGAGAGAGAGAGAGAGAGAGAGACGTTACCGGTTGGTCATGGGATATGGATGCCTTGGGCATATTAGCAAGATTTTGTCCACTCTGGTGTATCTCCCAGCATCGCACCTAAACACGGGGGGCATACCAGTAGTCATTACTTAATCCTACCAATAAACTGTTCGTTTGGTCGCGTAGATAAGAAAAGAAATTATAAAATTCAATCCAACGGTGTATCTTCTTCAGTTACCATGAATCACACATACATACTACATAAGCAAGAAGCATACTGCAATAAATATATATATTTTTTTGCTTGAGAAAGGAAAAAAACCATTAAATAGAGTGTCACAACCCGTACCAATACAATCAAATAAAAGAGCTTTTCCCGCCCAGAGGGATGGTTTGGTATTGCTATACTTTGAAAAAAAAACTGTTTCTGCTTTGCTGTGAGATTAAGCTCATTTTTGCTGCTTCACGTTTTCAGCTTTTTTTCACCTAAAACTGTGAAAATAAGCTGTTTTTAAGTGTTTACCGAACACCTTTTGAGCTCAGCTTTTTTTTATACTTATTTTTTTATAAAAGCACCTTACTACCTTAGTACCAAACCAGTACTCTACCCCAAATATAAAAGTTAGCAACTTCAAATCCCATGCTAGTCGTTGCGTCCACCACGAAGTTTGCCACTCTAATGACATGCTTCCAGTAAATAATTATATGTGAATCCCAATCATATATTATAGTGCCTGGTAGTCTGATGACAGAAATCCAATCCAATCTAATCCAATCCTATAGGAAAACCTTTCTTAGCAACCAAACAGAATGCAAGGCTCCATTGTCCCAGGATGTCACATCCCGGCCCGAGGCGGATCACTTCCCGGGCCCGCTCCACCACCATAGCACGATATTGTCCGCTTTGGGCTTACCATTCCCTCACGGTTTTGTTTTTGGGAACTCACGAGCAACTTCCCAGTGGGTCGCCCATCATGGGATTGCTCTAGCCCCCTTCTCGCTTAACTTCAGAGTTCCTACGGAACCCGAAGCCAGTGAGCTCCCAAAAGGCCTCGTGCTAGGTAGGGATGGGAATATACATATAAGGATCACTCCCCTGAGTGATATGGTATGTCACAATCCACCCTCCTTAGGAGCCCGACGTCCTCGTCGGCACACCACGGCCAGGGTTAGGCTCTGATACCAAATTGTCACATCCCGGCCCGGGGGGATTCACTTCCCGGGCCCGCTCCACCACCATAGTACGATATTGTCCGCTTTGGGCCCCGACCATGCCCTCACGGTTTTGTTTTTGGGAACTCACATGAGAACTTCCCGATGGATCACCCATCCTGGAAATGCTCTCGCCCGCTACTCGCTTAACTTCGAAGTTCCTACGGAACCCGAAGCCAGTGAGCTCCCAAAAGGCCTCGTGCTAGGTGGGGATGAGAATATACATATAAGGATTACTCTCCTGAGCGATGTGGGATGTCACAATCCACCCCCTTAGGGGCCCGACGTCCTCGTCGGCACACACGCGATCAGGGTTAGGCTCTGATACCAAATTATCACATCCCGGCCCGGGGAGGACCACTTCCCGGGCCCGTTCCACCACCGTAGCACGATATTGTCCGCTTTGGGCCCCAACCACGCCCTCACGGTTTTGTTTTTGGGAACTCACACGAGAACTTCCCGATGGGTCACCCATCCTGGGAATGCTCTCGCGCGCTACTCACTTAACTTCGGAGTTCCCATGGAACCCGAAGCCAGTGAGCTCCCAAAAGGCCTCGTGCTAGGTAGGGATGGGAATATACATATAAGGATCACTCCCCTGCGTGATGTGGGATGTCACACAGGAGGTGGCGACCAGAATGTTGCTCTTAGGACTGAAGCTTAGGCTCGTTATCCAATCGTTTAGAAGGATGGGTGACCTAAAATATCAAAAATTAAAATTAAAATTAAATTGAATAGAATAGAATTAAATTAAATTAAGGAAGAAAATCAAAACAAAGCAAAATCGACAAATAACTGCAAGTTAATCGAATTCACCTCAAAAGACTTGTTCGGGTTCCGATTCTAATTCGAAGCAGCCATGAAATTCGACATTGGAGTAGCACTCAGTGAAATTCGCTTCTTCTCTACTTCGAAATTTCAAAAATAAATAAATAAATTACCCAGCATTCATCTGAGAAGTAAAACTTGAGAGGGAGAGAAAGTTACCTTAGCCGAAGGTCGAGATTGCAGAAGAAAGTTGAAACTAAGTGTGGTTTGGAAGTTTGATCGAAGAGGAAGAAGGAGACGAGTATACATGGGAAACTTTTTTAGATGTCATGTGAATTTATAACTTTTTTTTGCAGGGAACTTTAGAGTAGTTCCACCGCAAGTGGAATAGCCCAGCACCCTTTCAATCTGCTCCAGCCCGTAAAACAGTCAGGTACCCAGCCCAAGCCAGGCAACAGACCAGCCTATTTCGGAGAGACCCAGAGGTCAGCCTATTTGGCTGCGCTTGCAGCACACTCGCGACTGGACGTGAGTAAGAGACAAGGGTGTAGGCGGCGGGACCCGCTTGTAAGCCCACTTGTGTTCACCCGGATTAAAGCTACGTGGCCCTCCTCAGTGTCGTTGGATTTCCAACGGCTAGTTTTTGTAGACCATTGGATTTCCAATGGTAAAAAAAATTTTAATTTGACTTTTAAAATGAATTGTTCGATCACATATCAACGGTCCACATTTTTTCATCAAAAATAAAAATAAAAAAAGGCCCAACAATCAGAATTTTGACTGTTGGCCATGTGGCAACTCGTTGGCTGTTGGATTTGAATATTTTTCAAATCCAACAGTCCAGATTAATTAACAACATTAAAAATTATTAAAAATTAATTATTTTTTTAAATACAGAAAAATTTAATTTTTTTTTTATTTTTTATAAATACCTAACCCTCATCTTCCACCTTACACCATATTTCAATATTTTCTACACTTTCTACACTTTCTACATTTCAATATTTTGTACACTTTGAGAGAAAAAAATGACTTCGTGGAAGCTCATTGAAGATGTTACGTTGTGTGTATGTTGGGTTCACACTACTCATGACTCAATTATGGGTAATGAGATGGAAAAGCGAGAAATGTGGATTAAAATCATGAAAGCGTTTTGCGATGTACATGGAAAAGATGCCAGATCTAGTCAAGGTCTTCAAGGTCATTGGAAAACACTCAACGCATCATTTACTTGTTGGAAAAATGTCATCTCTCATGCTTCCGGTAATCTGCGTAGTGGGACAAGTTTAGCGGATCAGGTAACAATATTTTTATTTATTTATATGCATTCCACCACATCAATATTTTAATTTATTTAATTTCTTATGTAGTTTTTATGTAATTTCTTATGCAATTTTTATGCATTCCACGCGCATCAATATTTTAATTTATTTATTTGTGTTACACCCATATTTTTTAATACTATCTTATCCCACATTTTTATAGACATTACAAGCACAAGTATTCTACAATGCAAAGAACCAGAACAAATTATTCAACAAATGGGAATGTTGGCAAATTGTCAAAGATTGCCCTTGATACAAAATTGTGGCAACCGGTCCAGAAGTTGTCATGCACGGTATGGGTCTACACAGTTTGCCAGAAGCAGACATGGCCGAACAAGAAGCCAACACATTTGAAGACACAGAAGGGACGCCTGAAGAAGTGCCGGATACCCAACCGACTTGTCAGTCCCTCAGGCCTCAAGATAAAAAGGCATAAAAAAAAATGTAGTTCTTCCAAAAATGACTACACTAAATATATGGAGGAACTTGCTCGCCAAGGTGAACTAAACATGGTGTGAGAAAATGCTAGAGATGAGGAAAAAGCTACTATTATGGCAGCAATAATAACAGCTACTGAGGCTCGTGATGCGGCGGCTAAAAGACAAAGAGAAATAGTTAATCGAGAGAACGAGATGATTAGAAAAGCGCTTCATTAAGAGAATGAGATGCTTAGAGAAGAAAGGATGGCTCAAGCAGATCGTGACACTATGAACAAGTCTCTAGTAAGACTGTCTTCGAATTCGAAATATTTTTGGACATTAGAAAAAAGAGATGTCGTGCGAAGGAGGTGTGCAAGAGATGCTGAAACAAGTCGAGGGGGTTCTAGCTACAGAAATCCTAGCAACGAAGATCCTAGCACCACATATCCTAACTCCACAGACTTTGTATATTTTCGTATTTATTTGTAGTACTTTATTTAATTTGTTATGTAATTTCTCATTATTTTTAGAACTTTATTTAATTTCTTATGTAATTTCTTATTTATTTTTAGAACTTTATTTAATTTCTTATTTATTTTTAGAACTTTA